CGGGGGGGGGGGCACTTTTCATTCGACCGGGACAGGTTACCTGCATGCTGTCTGGGTACCGTGGACGTCGACTGAGCTGAGTCCGTTTACTGAAGCAGTGCTACAGATGATAGTAATAGCATTTTATTCGGCTGCTTCCGCCGCTTTGTGGTTTCAGGAGCTGCTTTCGCTGATGCAGTGGTGGTAATATCAGAATACGAAGGGGCTACTGTCACTACTGAAGCCGGTTTTATGGGACTGGATAACTGTAGGAGTAGCCCTTTACTTCGATGAGGAGATCGAGTACCTGCAGCACAAAGTCGTTAAAAATGGAGAAAGGCGTTTCTAAAGCCAATCGCAGTTGTCCGCATCGATCTAGGAGCACTTTATGTGTAACAACCCTTCCCAATCATCGCAAAAGAGCGCTTTAGCCCTGGGACCCACAATTTTTGCTCACTTCGCTCTTTTGAGACATTTCGAATAAAACAGATCCAGTGAGAATACACAAATATTACAATGTAATACTCCGAATCCACACACGGAGGAAATCAGTGCTGGGTGCTTGGAGCACTTTATGTGTAACAACCCTTCCCAATCATCGCAAAAGAGCGCTTTAGCCCTGGGACCCACAATTTTTGCTCACTTCGCTCTTTTGAGACATTTCGAATAAAACAGATCCAGTGAGAATACACAAATATTACAATGTAATAATCCGAATCCACACACGGAGGAAATCAGTGCTGGGTGCTTCCATTACTTCAATTAGCTCATAACAGGGATAAGCAGAGGGAACAAGTCAAGTGTGTTTATCTGTCGTTTTCAATTAATATTTGTCATATCATGGGGTTTAACGATAAATGAACATAAACGAAGGATGGACAACTAAATTTCAAGAAATACCCTGCACCACCAATCACAGATGACTACGAGTTCGGGAGGAACGGTACGTTAACTGGACCACTTTGACATTGGTTTAAATAACACGAAGACCTCAGTGCTCACCTTGAACGTTTGGTTGACATCACGTTGAGCTCGCATGTAGTCTTCATAGTCCGCGCATAAAAAGTATCGATCGGAATGAGCAATCGAATTGTAAATATCTTGAAACAGTGTGGGATTGTTGGGCGAGAAATGTCCATCACGAATCTGTTCAAGAGCTAATTTTAGCATCGGATTTCGATCAATATAATCTTGAGGTCGATAGCTAGAGTAAAGCAAATGCAAGATAAATATGGGTATGAATTTGTTTGACCAAATCTGTCACTCAAAAATCACGCTCAAAGGAAATTCAACGAAGCTTGAAATCAACAAAAAAAGTTACCCGCGTGCTTTCAAGTCTTCTACTTGATTCACTCTGAGACCAAAAATGAACATATTCTCTGCCCCAACCTCTTCAAACATCTCAACATTAGCTCCGTCCATCGTGCCGATCGTCAAAGCGCCATTTAACTGGTACGAAAAAATAGCAATTGGAATTTGCTCGATTAAAAAGTGTATCAGAGCATAATGTGCATGGAGCGGAACCAATAAAATCAGAGAACTGGCTCCTGAAAAATAAAGTCTAAATGATCATCCTTTCTGATCAGACAACTGCCGACAATCTGTGGGCGTATTAAAACACTTGCAGCCTTGCCTGATCCAAATACAACCTTAACTTCCTAAGGGACTTCAGAATAAAAAATATCCACTCTGTAAGAAAACAGCACCCTCTACGGCACAGGTGGAAGTAATGAATGTGGCTCGTGGTCCAGTGATTCTAGCGAGAGCCATAATATCGGCTCAGAAGTGTTGAGCGGTGAGAAACGCAGACCAATTTGCACATCTGGCGCACAAATGAGCACTGGAATAATGTGTGAAACCCATGCCATGAAACAGGAAAGTAGCTCATAGTGTATTGGAGACCGTAAAGCCGGAAACTGTTGTTTACCAATGGAGTTATCTGGGACAGAAAATGTATACTGAATGGTTGCTTCGTGTCTTTCATCAAAAGTGGCACAGAATGATGTTCACACATGAAAATTCGGGAGGTTATCGAGTGTTGACAACTAGTTTTTGTTTTTTAACCATGTTTGTGCTATTTTTATGCTTCTAATCCACGAGAAAACACCTCAGCGGAATAAAAAAACAGTAGGTCCTGAAGAAGTTTCCTTTCGGAGTTAAGAGGAGGGAATCGCCACATGGAAAGATGGTCATTGGCAATCGAAGACGTCCAGATAATTTCGCGAATGCTTATGTGGCTAAGACAGAGTACATACGAAATTTGGTCTATCCATCGTAAATTGTGTGCGGATTGGAAGTGAAAACATACTTTCATTTACGATACAGTTTGAGATTGGAAGAAATAACTTACCATGAATTTCATGTTCCCTGTGCCCGAGGCTTCGGTGCCGGCTGTGGAAATCTGCTCAGACAGGTCTGCTGCGGGAATCACTATTTCTGCCAGTGAAACGCGGTAATTTGTTAGGAAGATCACCTATGCATAAAGCAGTGTGCACATTGAACAAAACACTTCATCCATGAGGTAAGACACAAAAACGAGTCAAGTTTGGAAAAAATAAGCAATAATATCTTAGAACCTCGAAAGCGTTCGGAAAAATAATGGATTAGTTTTAATAATATAAGCATGACTACCAAGATATACACAATTTTATACCAGCATCATGTAAATAAAAATAAACAGCGATGGACCATCGAATCACCCTTCCATTTTGTCACCGATTAGTCGAGATGACTTTCCGCGTCTTGCTAAGCGTGTAAAATAATTGTTTCGGACAACGCCTGTATGCCTGCTCTGTTGAGTAAAGTTTCACATCCATTTCACATGTGCTTAGACGGTTGACCAATCCACCTCACAGTATGGAAAGTTTGATTTCCTGATCATGGACCATTGCTACCATTCAATATGATAATAATGTCCGGATGTCAAGGAACAGGTACCGTGGAAATACCTTCGGATGAAAATTTCCAAGCCATCACATGGAAGTTTTGCGTATTCTAATGTAATGGTACGTTTGAACTTTTGATAAGCTTGCCATACATCGTGAAAAGCTGAATTATGCTAAATATGAGTGACGAAGATAGGGGTCGAATGGGATGTCATCTTGTATAGCCCAGCTAGTAGTGAATGGACAGAGCATATCTTTGGTTGATAACTTTTTTTGGCGGAGAGCTCTTACAGCTTCCGCTATCCGTGAAAGTGATTCCAACTAGTTTTAGGCCACTCAAGTTATCACTTGCTGATAAGTTACGGGAAAGCCGATCAATCAAAACTTTTGGGGGGAAGTATTCTTCATGCATACATTTATTTTGAAATATGTAAAAATTTGTTTCAGCAATTGATTTAAGTGTATTTAAAAGTGGAAGTGATAAACTTCATGCTTTTTATGTCGCCCATGATAGCTAACATACCCTAGGGTCAGATTATGTTGATCTTGTGCGGATCTCATTCCTTGGGAGGTCGTTGATTCTCCTCATTATGCCATTGTACTTTCAGATGCAATTTGAACACCAGAAAATAGCACAGACTGACCGTGTTATCATTTTTGGGACTCATTAGTTGTGTACCGTGTTCGTATACTTGAACCGCGAACATCGGGTTGACAGTGACCTAACGTCTGACTGAAGAAATTGGCAACCGGTAAGAGGTGTGTCTACAAATAGGTTTTCATTCAGTGGTGTGATGAAATTCATATTGATTTGAATTGATCATCCTTCAGAATTTCACCTTCACACGTAATCCTCAGTTCTTCCAGTTAATCATACACTCAGAAGTACTGGAGTTGAGTTTCACTCCTATTCGAGCTCATCAGCAGTGCATTTCTACCGTCCCGTTTGGGCTTTGAACTCAGGACCCATATCAAGAAAGGCATGTGAGTTACCGCTGTACTAACCAGTTTAAGCTAGGGCTGAATTTAAATACCAACTCATGTTTGTAAAGGTGTTACTTTTAGTGGTAGCCGGTCAGTTCATTTTGGCAGTTCGGTTTAGCCCTAATTTGAGCTGGTTGGTGCCGTGGTAACACATAGACCTTCCATGAGATGAGTACGGAGTTCAACTCCCGAGTGGGGCGTTGGATGTGCAATTCTGATGAGCTCTGGTAGGAGTGAAACAAAACTCTAATGCTTCAGAATGAATGGCTGATTAGAAGAACAGAGGATTGTATGTGAAGGTGAAAGTGAAATGATGCCAGGTCAAACCGTAAATGTTATTATTCTTTCGTGGCTAGTGAGTTTGCACCGCTCTTCCTAAACATTGTTCATCTTAACAATTTACCACATTTTTTCGAATACTCATTATATATATATGTAGTAAGTTGATTTATGAATAAATTTATACAGGAACGACAAATTTGTACCACGAAAACTGCTTACAGAATCCAGATCCCATTTCAACATTGACCAGTGCAGTTTAATAGTCATGCGTGAAAGAGGGGAAAAAAGAAGCCAGTTATGAACTGGGGAGGGTTTTACTGACCTTGAGCTTTCGTGACACCTGGGGATGGGAATTGACCACCGTGGCCACATTGTTGATCAGTTTAATGATCAATTTAGCCATATAGTACCCGGGTGCAGCTTTGCCACCAATCATGATGGTGCGCGGACAGATATCCGTGTTCGGGTTGTTTCGTATGATATTATACAAGGTGATAATGTGAAGACAGTTCAATAATTGACGTTTGTATTCATGAATTCGTTTCACCTGGGGCATTAGTTGGAACAACAGAAAAAGGTGGCAATAAGTTTAGTCTTTTCTGTATTTGATTTCAGTTAATCTAGTACACTGTTCACAGTCAATATTAGACAATAGGCAATTGTCTGAAATTAGGTCCTTATCATACCAAAATAGTTGTTATGCAATTTGATATTTTCCCATAGGTTTTAATTAAGTTAAACGGAAAACTCGCCACAACTGATGGATTTTACACTTAAGCAATTCCAGAGGACTGAACACATCGTTCCAAATCGGCAGCTGCATATGTTTTGTTTGTTTTATTGATTAAAGTATCATTCGGTATGCTTGTCAGAGTACACTAGTGAGGAACAATTAGGACGAAAAATGGGAGGCGTTTAATGGATACGCATTGAGGTGTATTGTCATAGGTGTGCTAAAAGATACAAATGCAAATGCACAGCCGTTATTGTGACAATTCCTTGTTCTGGCTTTGTTTGAAATATTTTACTTATTCAGTTAGCAAAGAAATCAGGGAATGATACAGAATAAAAAGGTCAAGATGTAGTGGGCACTACGGAGAGTTAGGTACGGAAAATTAGAAAATTTCATGCTTTAAGGGAGTAAAAAATATATACACAAGCATGTCAACTCAGAAGCTTGACTTCGCAAACATGCTTCAGCTTGCTATTCGCAATCTTCTTCATGCCTCTTTCAGTGTATATTTATCCGGTTGCATTCGCTAAATATGGTTCAGTCATTACAATATTACACGATCAAATATGAGAATCAACAAGTGACGCCGATTCGGGTTCTTTCATTCAATCTCCTCCCCCCCCCCCTCACACGTAAGAAACCATGTGATGACTGAATACTGACACTGGAACAAATGGTCTATCTCCATAGATTACGTTGGTTGGGGCATGTGTTACGCGTGTCGTCACGGCGCACGATGTTTACTGAGGCAGGTAGTGGGCGAAAAAAAAACAAGGGCGGTCAAACTAAGTCCTGGCATGAGCGCATAAAAACCTTAACCAGGACACTGGGTTACATAAGTGTCGTTAAGCTTCCTTGATGGAGACCTCGGGATAATCGTAACCGATGGTTAGAGACATTAGGTGTCGTAAATAGTTGAATTCTCCCTGGCATCGTTCGTTCACTGAAATTCTCCATTTTCTCTTCGACTCTACTTTCAACTTTCTTATTTTTCTCTTACTACTTCATCACAATGGACATCCGAAACTATAGAAACCAAAACCGGCGCAGAGAAGTGTATGGTGATGATTATACAAAGTGAACTGAACTTATAAACAGCCTAATAACGCGATGATATCCCTAGCTTCCAAATGCTAAATCAACCAGTTGTGAGCGCGAAAATAATTCATTCAGCATGTCTGTCGAGAGAGTTTAACTGATGAAGTAGAAACTTGGCCAGAGTTTTCAAAAAACAATAGTAGTAATTGATATTTATCGCTCTTCTATTTCCATCCAAGTGTTCATATTTGTCTTAATATTGCACAGCAGACACCAAACACCGTTCTTTAAGCAAAGGTTTTTACTGCGCATTCATGATATCTCCAAGTTTGTTTCACTCTGCTTCACTGTTTTGCCATTCATGGAATTGGGATTCGATTCATCACGAAGACATCAGGACGACACTGTTCACGCTCGTAAAGTGCGAATGGATTGAACTTTTGGATCTGGAAACCGAATCTTATGGGTTAAAAGTTGATACTGAATTTTCCGTGAATGCGTTCAATCGTTTACGGATGCCTAACTGATTTGAAAGCGTACCTGGACGTCAAATAACGATTTTGGATCTACATCAACACCGAATTCTTCTTTGAGGAGCTGGGCCAAGCGTCTTTTGTTGAAAGCTTTCACCTGTAGATAAACGGGAGAGTATAGGAGAGAGCAACTTTTGTAAGTTGTTCACAAACACAATCAGTTTGCAAACTCCGAAGATCAATAAGTTGACATTGATCTCCCCTGTGAAAATGAATGGCCTTCACGTATTCAAGAGCATTAAGTAAACGAATTGCATTATGAAGTAGGTAAGGCATTTGCTCTTCGAATATGGATATGTACATCCTAAAAAAGAATGAACTATTGCTCTAATTATTCGTTATTAATTTTTCTTTACATTAGTCGTATCTGTCAATTTAGTTAGCTAAATTTAAAGCGGACTCCTGATTCCACGGAACACTCTCTAACTCTTGTTGTCCTTGCTAAGGTTGATTAACAGAGTGAGTTAAATCCCAACACTGAAATTTACACAACAGATCGAAATCATTTTTCTCTCTTCTCGTCGAACTGTTCAGCTTCATTGTTTGACTACCAGTTTACACATATCCACTGAAAAAGTTTGTTAGTTCCATTGATTTCAGCTTAAGAACATCACAAACGCAATGGGAAATTGAACGTGTTACCCGAATGGTTCATAAATGCATGCATTTTTAGCTTACAGTCAAAAATATGACAGTATACTTGTCTATTTGCTAATGTACACCGCTCTCTTCAACCAGCATTATTTTATTTTATAACAGTGATATTGAACTGAGTTGTGGTCTAATTCCAGGGGATAGGGCTCGGAGCAATGGTCACATAATCTCACTTGTAAGGCTTTTTGGAGAAAATCTTTTGAGTCCGCTTCGCGTTTCAATTCGGCCAATTTACTCAACTCAGTCACCCATTCATCATCCAGTTTGGTCGAGATCAGAGAGGCCAGTTTACGGTTGCACAGCAACAACCAACGCCGAGGTGTGATCCCGTTTGTTTTGTTCTGAAATTTGTGCGGCCAGAGGTCTGCGAAATCCTTAAACCTGTACAATAACCGGAAAGTTGTGGGGGGAGGGGGTAAACGTCTGAAGGATTTTAAAACTAGGGCATTTCACTCTGGATGTTATAGTTTTCTTATATTTTCATTTGTGCCGTAAAAATTGGGGAAATGTTTTATGCAGCACAGTTTCAGATGGTCCATTCACTAACGTACTACAAGTGGATATGCTCCAGTGATTGCATTTATATTTATTCAAGGGACTAGTGACCTCCGTCAGTTGGTTGTTTAGACAGCCAATAAATCAATGATTCAAGAGTAACCAGATTCCAAATTCTAGTGATAGCCAAAGCTACTAGCGTATGGCCTGCGAAGTTCCGGTTTTGTCGATGACGCCACGCTCTAGCTGGTTGCAAAATTGAGTCATCAGAACATGCGTAGTAGGCATACAAAACAGATACACATCCAGTACACTTATAAACACACACTAAGGATTCACAGTGCCTCAACCTTGATTGGCAAATTTTCTGAACAGGTAAGTGACTGACTTCTTCGATCCTCTTTTCTCTTGTTTGAATGAATAAATGTAAAAGAAATCTTTGAAAATATATGTTCTCCCATACTAAATGTTTAAGATATCCTTTTAATAGTCACTCTGCTTCGTTGGAACCTGGCAAGTAGAATTTGTGAATTGAAGTCAAATTTTAATCGAAAAGTGAATAATTTTAGCCAAACAGATTTAGTTTCAGTGCAACAATAACTCAGATGCGAAGGATTTCCTGTGTGACGGACGACCAGGAGCACTTGGCAGTTGTTTCGTCCTTTTTTAGACTCGTCAGTAGTGTTCTTTGTCCCCACCTCAATGTGAACAAGGACAAAAAAGTTGTCTTGTACTCTCTGACAGCCTCCGCACAATAATTCCGTTGCATTTGAACGTATGTGGGAAAGGAATGAACTCCCGGGGAGTGAAACCCGCAATCCAACTTCACCAAGACCGTACACAGTTCCTGGTTTCTGTGAGAAAATAGCACATTCGAACATAACATCCGAAAATAATAACTTGGTTCATATTGTTTCTATTTCACTTTCAGTATGAACAACCCTTAACCACGCACTCTCGTGCGCCGAGTTTCATTGCTATCTTCTGGTAGTCCAAAATTGCAAAGATATTAATAAGATGCACGAGTATCTCTGTTTATGACACTCCGCAAAATCACTTAGTATTTTTATCCATTGATTACAAAGATCATGAGGTCCCCATTGATGGAGCCCAACGAGACATATATGACTGAGTCTCTTCGTCATGGTTCTCATACTCTCTTGCCAATTCTTATTTTGACCACCCCTGACTTTTTTCATCAATTACATGTCCCAGCAAACATTGTATTTTACGTAACATGACATGAGATGAAACATGGGGTCATAGTCGGTGAATTGTCAAGAACATTCTTGATCAATAAACGGTTAACCTCCAGTGATAATTTACATCACACTTATATGCCAGCTAGTTATCAAGGCTTGTATACTTTTACCCTTTTACAAGTAACTAAAGTATTCGCTATTAAACTGGCTATATCAACTTCCATCTTTTCCCATAAGTTATCTTATGAATTTTGTTGAGGTTTATTTAGTCGTCTCGCGATCATCCTTTTAGGAGAGGTTGACTGAAAGTCAGTGTTTTGCATAACATTTTTGGTTTAGTGATATCCTGCTCTTTTAGCTCTTTTATCCTAATGGGCGACCAAAGGACAGAAACCAAAACCGGCGTGCGAAAGTGTATGGTCAATGGTTGTAAAAACGGAAATGGTGTATTGACAGTAAAAGTAAATATATAATGCGGTGGGATGGGGTGATTAAGTGATCTTATTCGCTGCCACTGGCTTGTTAAGGACTTCAAAATCCGAGATTTGAGCCCTGAACTTCCCACCTGTATCTTCTTCGGTGACATCTGCCCTATGTGGGTTCTATGCAGTTCCCCTAGTGCAAATTCAGTGACTTGGATCGCCGGTTATGAATGAGGCCCACGATCAAATCCGCTGCACGAAAGTGCTTAGTTAATGGTTATTTAAACCGAAACTTCAAAGGTGAAACCATATGGCCAACGCCTTTATACCGTTCATTACCCAGGGGTTTAGATGAAAAAGTTACATTGAGTCGCCTCCTGAATTTTTGATTCAAAACTTACGTATCTTTCTTTATAATGTTCGAGTGAATCGCAGATACTCCATTGACACAATGTGATCCGACCAAACAGAGAATAGCTGTATTCACAGCTTTGACCGGGGTCTCTTCAATCATGGACATGCGCCGCAAACGCTCTTTATCATTTGGGTAGCGTTTTTTAACCAGCTGTTGAGATGAGATAAAATAATGAATATGTAATACAAATATGTAAATGTATACGTATCTATATAAGATGGGAATAAAGCGGGATAGGGGCCGGGGGGCTACATTTCTTTATATACTTGAAAAACGGATGCATGGGGACGCGAACAAATATTGTCTGTATACGCACCTGTGTGCAGATTCCGACGGAGTAGATACACCAAGGTGTAAAAATGTGTGAGCTGTGTAGAAGGAACAATGTAAGAGTTTACGAGTGAAATGAACAGAATCCATACGACGGTAGTTCGTATTATATATCATACCGTCTGGGGAACAAGCGGGAGACAATTTAACAACATCCGGAATAAACGCGGGACTCCTGTGACTATGCCCAAATCGCTTCATGCCTTGCCGGAGATTGTTAAAAAGACATAATCCGGTGTGTCTTGTTCATCGAACGATGGGTTCCATCTTAGGTTATATGGTTGACAGCAGTCATTGAGTCGTTTGGGGGAACGGGTTCAGTTTGAAATATCGGCAGCCATCGAAATTTTACGAACTGTAGTATCTCAATTTTACATTGAGTTGACCACTACCAGAATGACGGTGATGTCTATCGGTTACTTATCATCGTTTATTACACTTGGAAACTGCAGATTTGGCTTGCCTAGTGCTCCCGACATCCAAATGGTGGACTTCCCGGTTTTTCACCTACCGACAACTTAACAGATAGTTTGCTACTCTTTCGCACTGAAATTGGGTTGAGACGGCGCAAATGATGAATATTAGTAATATCCTACAGAGGAATAAAAGTCAATTGATGTATGAGGTCCATGCGTACCATTCAGGAAAATTCGTTGGTATGATTGCATTGCGTGGAACATGGGGACTTTAAGCACAGTCCTGGACGGTTTGGAGTCAGCCTAACTGTCTCACACACATTAAACGACTCCAACAAATCGACGTCTGTTCGCGAGCGCGAAAAGGCGCCAAAATGAAATATGCATCATTTCAACACAGAAGGACTGCGATGAGACAAGTGGTCAATCAAAGATTGAAAAAATGCGTTTCCAATGGACCAAGAAGATACGTTGAATAAATGCGGATACAAACACACAGTTTTTATTGCATAAGTAATTTTTTGGTTTCCAAATTGAATGCGCCAGTTTTCCAATTCAAATTGATACTTTCTCAAATTAAACTCGAAATGGTTAAGATCTGATTGATTTCTGTTGAAATGAGTCTGTGATTTAGCTAATTTTTTATACCACATAAGCATCTGGTGTTAAGTGATCCTCAACCTAGCGGACAGTTTCACCGAGTCCGCATGCAGACCTCCGTGGTACTCACCTTCCCCTCGGAACAGATGAACACCAAACTAACCAACAGCATCGGTACAATTGTTTTCACATATATGATCTGTAAGCTTATGTTTTGGAAACATTGAAAACAACTATTCTCTTCTACTAAGCATTCAAGTTTGGATTGCTTTCAACCGAGTCATAACCCTACAGGCTCGTGGTAAAATGACAGTGTTGTAATGCCGTAACAAGCTTTTAAATAAAGGTTGTCCTAAATGGTTGTACAAAAGTTTTGCTCAGTGATCCGGTCTGATCAGCCATCTAGTTGTTAACTGGGCAGTATGCTAATGTTCTACCTGTGAGTTCCACGATTCTATCCTTAGTTTGTCGAGGGATTCGCACGGCTTATGAGACCCAACCATGTCCGCTACCCAATCTGACCGAAAAAAGAAGGAGAACCAAATTGAAGAAGAAAGTAAACAGAGAAAAATACCAAGAGAATCTTTTGTGTTTGTTCAAACGTACTTTTAGGTTGGTCGGAAGGTTGACCTCCCCGAAATAGTAGGCTGAATAAATGAAGCTCGAATTTATCCAGCATATATTTTTGACAGTTTTCCTCTGGGTTAAAAAATTACCTGGGCTAATAAAATAAATCTATCGGAATAAAACGGTAGAGAAAAAGGTCTCAACAGTTGTAATCGGCAAATGAACTGTACAGACTTTTCATCTATCTACAGCACAGGGACATCATCATGTTACATACGAATTGGGACAAAAATACTCTAGGGGATACTCCATCTTTCATAAATGACTAGAGCCTTTCCATTAAACCTACGGGAAGATTGCTACCAAAACATCCTTTATTTGATGACGAGATTTCGATTTGTAGATGCCCAGGTGTTTATTTTCTCTCCCCGTCTAATTATTTCACTGCAAGTCTAAATTTAAATCTATCTTAGTAATCGAGGGGTCGATTTTTCTCTCTTCCTCCTTCAACATCAACATTAATTTCGGCTTCAAACATATTGCTTTTATAAAGGGTTTACAAAGGTTTTCGACTTACTTCAAGGAAGTCAAAATTGATCTTGTACAAAATCTCCAAATGACGTGGTAAAATATGTTCCAGCATAGCGACAGGCCAGCGTTCCAAGGCCTCCGGTAAAATGGTATGATTTGTATAGGCAAATACACGAACTGTGATATCCCATGCCTAAAGGACAGATGAAACGGAGGAAACTGGCTTCAAGAACCAATCGTGCAGTTACTCTAAGCGAAAGACATAAAAGGGTAATGATCGGTCCATGTTACGGAGGCGAATTTTAGCATTCTCCAAAAATGAAGGACCGCATTCTAACGTAAAATTCCCAGATCTCGACATGCACCAAAGTATTCCTTTCCCTTGACACTAGATTCGACTCACAACGCGAATTCACTGTGTTGTTAGGGGCCTGTAACCAAACACAGCAGGTTGGAACACGCAAGCTATCGGAAACGAGTGAACGATTTAATGGATGCGTTGATCAATCAAACGGCGGTCTAAGATCAAACCAATCCCGTTCGCGGACAAAGCAGCCTGGAGCGATATTCCTCAATGTTTGTCATGAACAAGGGCATCACGTGATTGCACGATCAAAAGAAACGGATGATCAAATGCGTATGTGATAGGTTCAAGCAGTACAAGAACATTATACCAAATACTTATTGAAATAGTGACAATGAAATCATTGAGGAGAGTTTGCGTTTAACCTAGGGTTGAATAACGTGGCTGATATAAAAGTGTTTCTTGAGTCCATTGATGCCTATTTGTTCAGATACATTTACATTTTCAGTCCAAGGACTACCAGACGCGAAGACATTAGTTACAATTGGTTGCGCTTTTAAATTTCATGCTTATGAGCTCACTGAGTTGAGCATTCCATGACAAGGTTTATTATCTTTCAGTTTTAAATTTAAGCGTCACCTCGGCATTTTTATTCTGTCTCAAGCCATGAGTAGTAAAGAGGTAGCAAATCTGAAACAATGCTGTTGTATATATATATATAGATATATATATATATATATATATATAACAATTTATTCGTGGAGGTAATGGTGTAACGTTCTATAAAACAGGGGATACGGTTTTCCATGCATTCCCAACCTGAGCTTTCGACCAACCAGTGCCTGGCTCGCAAAGCAGCAAGGCGACATGCTTGGATCGTAGTTAATTGGCGTCCATGCTCCAGTTAGACTGATCGTGGCTCCACTCGAGTAACCATGAGACCTTATCATCTGATCAAGTTGATTGCCTTCACCATAAGAATCTCCTGGAACCTGTTCCGAAATCTCCTATTTTAAGGTCTAAAGTCAAGGTTTTAAAGATCATCTGTCGTGGTGCTGATTAATAGCCCCTATGTTGTAATGAAAACGCCCTAGTTACAGAAGACAGCAACTTGGTAGATTTCTTAAGTGGTGCACTCCCTTTGGGTGTGTTCTAGGAACACAGTGAGATGGAGCAACAAGAAATAAAGCAACCAATTCAAAGTTCGAGACGTCATAAAGGGGTCAAATGATTATGGTTTTGAGGAAGGCGTAGTTATTCTTCAGGATTTCAAGGCACCCATACATAAAATGCAAGATTTTCTTATTGCAGATTTAAAATTGTTATTCCCCCCCCCACACACACACTCTCCAACAGTCATTATTTGCCTTGCCATTTCTGAATTGTAATGACTTAACTATGTGTATCGCTAGTGGAAGCAAGCACAGATTATTAAGTAAATCGACACACATACACATACCTTGTACCACTCCAAACTAGCTGTATCGACTAATAGGCGCATCAGTTCTAGAATCGCCAGAGAAGGATGTGTATCGTTCAACTGAACCGCTACCTTCTCCGGCAAGCGACTCAGATCCGTACGCTGTGGGCCATTGTCATCAACCATTTGGAATCGACGTAGAATATCTTGCATGGTCGCTGAGACTAGCATGAATTCTTGCTTCAGTCNTCAGTCGCAATTCTTTGCCTTCAAAACAGTTGTCGTTCGGATACAAGACACGTGACACATTTTCAGCAACGTTTCGATCACATACAGCCTGGATTACAACAGAAAAGTACAAACCAATTTGGTGATACAACAGGAATGCAAGTTCGAGGAGCAGGTGTTTTACAACAGTAGGTAAAACGGGAGAAGTTCTTAGTGATCTTTCTACTCTCTAAAACAATTTTCTCTAAATTGCTTGCAGTAATTTAGAACGTGCCTACTACCAATCTGAACCAACACAACGGGAAAAAACAAACTGTTCTCTTCCAGAAAAAAATGCCGATTTTAGTGACGTACGACAAACGGAATTGGTTAAGAACCAATACGATCCACACCATAACCATTCGGTAATTTCACCAATTCAATTAAATTTGTGGCATGAACCTTATGCAGGCTCTGTGGGATCCTCCACCACCTTTAAAAACCAACTGCCAACTGTAACGCTATCCAATGATCAAAAACGCTTGTGATGCTGAGCCTAGCCTCAAGGTCATATAAATGCTTTCGGATACAGACGGTCTCATAGTCACTAAGATGCGAATAATCCAACACAAGATTTAATATGACAGAGAGTGAAAATGATGAGCATAAGTGTTCGAACATAGTCCACAAGATACTCAGAGGATGATCCACGTGATCAAGGACAAACAAATTAATGGAATATAATTAAGAAAACTGTTTGAGGTCTAATAGTTATGATAATAATGATAATGATATGATAATAATAATAATAATGACAACGATAACCAGAACGGTAATCTGATAATATGTTTACCTCCTTTTATTGAATAAATAAATGTATGAAAATAATTATGAATAGGAAGGGCTGCAATAACTAAGGCGCGGTCTGGAAACAAACAGTAAACAAAAACTGCTGGAAGTGGAATTCGAACACTAGTCTTCCGGGGTGATAAGGTAGTGACCTTAACCGTTCGCTCGCATAATCAGACAAAAGTAAAGTTTTCTTCTAGTTATCTAACCAAGTTAACATCGAACTAGTTGAACACTCTCTGCGCCTTCTGATAACTCGAGTCCATAATCATTAAGCCGGTAGATAAAACGCTTCCATCATCACACAAAAAGAATGCGAAGGAAAAATTGGTGGTTGTTGCAGAATACCGTTTAAAAATCCTAGGTGTGAATGACTTAGATGAACGGAGTGCACTGATTTGGAGGAGAAATAGTGCGAGAACCACCACAAAATCGTCGACTGGTGAATACACATAAATCTGCTCAAGGAATAATCCTTAACAAAAACGGACAACAAAAACACCTTGACTGTTGGCCTGTTGCCATGGCCTTCATGGGTCATAGGCGGCTGAAGTCGGTCAGAACCTTCCATTACTGATAGCCCACGATCTTTTCTTTCCTGTGATCCGTTCGATGCGAAACAGAAACAATAGTTAATATGATCAAACTTGCTTGTTCTGACATATCTGAAATGTTAGAAGAATAGTTGCTGCCAGCTTAGGCTTGCAGTTTGGTAACGACAGGGGAATCCTGAATTAAGATCTTATCGAAACAGTGAAAGCGTGCGGTACATAGCGTAATGAGAGGAATTCAATCGGTGCGGTTTATTCGAACTCATCAAAAGCAAACGTGAAATTTTATGCGAACAGTGCCGTCATGAAACTGTCGGCCAAAGAATCGCTTTATACACATCGATCTCTCCAATTCAAGTGAGGATATTCGGTTCACGAAGAACAATATGAATACGTTTTGTTTTTCGCCTTATAATTTTCGTGTTTGTTGTCTCACATTCTGTTATCTTTTTAGAGGTCCTTCCAACCGCATTCGTGAGTAATGCATTATTTTACTAGTGACCTCCTTTTTCCAGGAACAACAAATTGTAGATGAAGCAGTATATAAGATGATAACCAGACGTGCAGGGTTTATTCCTTCGGTAAATGTCAGTTCAGTTTAGTTTTGACAACCATTAACCGTACACTTCCATGAATCGATTTTGGTTGCTATCTTTCGGCTGCCATTTGTATAAAAGAGCAGAAGACAGATTGGAATGTTAAAAGCGAGTTCAAAAGAAAGAAAGCGAATTCATATGTATTAGGATGGAAAGAATATTGAGCAAATGCACGAACGCTATTGCTCATATCACTCAGACCACTGATTATCTCTCAGCCCGGTTACCGTGACCTCAAGGTCCCAATCCAGGAAGCCTAAGGGTATTTATATGATCCAGTGTCCTGGTTAGGGTTTGCATTCCCTTATGCCAGGCCTTAGTTTGACCACCCGTGACATTTTGCGCCCACTAACTACCTCAGAAAACATCGCTCGCGGTGGAAACCTACTTGGTGACACGCCTAATACATGTTCCAACCAACATAATCCATGGAGGTCAACCACTTGCTCCAGTGGGCTACAGCTATTACCTAAAACTCTACCCCTAACCTCAGCATTGCTTGTCTTTCTGCCTCACCAGATTCGAGGAATGCTGCGTGGACAGAGGTGTTCAAACACCGCCGGCCCTGTCTCTATCCTGTATTCTTGATGACCAAGTTTCTGCACTGTATAGCAGAACTGGCCGAAATGCCGCAGCATACACTCGACTATTCACAGTGAGCCGGATGTCGTGGCGGTGCCACAAATGTCTTTAGTTGACAAATGCCGACCGAGCTTTCTGTATACGAGCTGACACTTTATCTGTGGTGCGTCCACCGAATGAGATATAGATGTAAAATTTGCATCCAAATTTGTCTACTTCATCTACTACATCCCCAGTCACGGTGAGATTGGGGGCCTGACCAACCCAATATTGTAGCAACATTTTACACTGAAGGTGCAAAACGCATACCGAACATGAATACACCAGCACTCAAACTATCCAGAAAAGCTTGCAACTCACCTGGATCTTCACTTAGTAGCACAATGCCGTCTGCGTACTCCAGATCAGACAATCTGCCGCCTGGAAGTAAAACGATGCTACTGTCCTCGCACAAGGACAGGGTTGTTTCCAGAAGTGAATCTATGACAAAGTTAAACAGAAACGGAGAGAGAGGGTAACCCTCTCGAACACCACTTTCCGTGGTGAACTAGGGTGAACAAATGCCGAAAGCTCGGACTCGGCCTCAGCTAATAGTATAAAGCGATTGTAATATTGAAATAATCTTCTCGGGTACACCCTTTAGAGCGAAGTAGCGCTAAAGTTTAGAGCGGTCGACTGAGTCGAAGGTCGCTTTCAGATCAAGGAAGATAGAAATGGTGGGTTAACGAAAGGAGTGACTGTGTTCTAGAATTTGTTGAAGGGTGAAATTGTGGTCTATATACAACCTCGATCAGGTCTGAAATAAGCCTGGTTCTCAGGCGTGTACCGTTCACATTCGGGAGACAACCAACGGAGAGAAGCATAGGGACAATGTTGAATAAAGTAATTCCTCTGTGGTTTTCCCAAGAGAATCTGTCATCTTTGTTGTAAATCGGTATGATGACCGATTCACTTCATTCAGTTGGAACCTGTTTCCTCTCACACACGGTTTTCAGGAGTTTCTTCAACTCCAAAATCAACGCCGCACCTCCATCCTCTAAAACCGATGATACAGCTCGTCCGGGTCGACGGCCCTATACTTTTTATCTTTATGTCGAAATTGTCATGCTTCCAGTAATTCGGTGTGTTTCGTGAGGCATTTTTTATATAACCACCAAAAGTTATTCAAATTCCACTTAACAGGTCGATACCAAATATATTAAAAATACTCAGCTGCTATTCGCGCATCTACTTTGGATCTCTGACGGGAAACCATTAAATATACGCAAGATCAACCGAACTCAAACTTCCATATTCGAATTGATTAAGAGGGATCAATAATTTGTAGATTGGGATGGTTATTAAATGGGCAACACTTCAGCAGCCCCAAACACATTTGTCGTAGAATTCTTCCTCTTGTGCATCAGGAATTCAGTCGGTCAGTACATATGTTGAGCTAAAAAATAACTACCGGTGTTGCTTCCCTTCCGAATACGGGTGGAACCCTGAATCCACATCTCACTCAAACGACGGAAATGCGATCAACAGAAGAAGTTCCAGTTTTGTCATTTATAATAGCATCTGCTCCGCGCTGGCCTACTGGACAAACTTCATCATTTCCTGATGTTCAGTAGTTTCTCGGGGACAGAAGCGGTCCAATTGAGTGGTTAATTCTACAAGTATCATGAGTTCCCAGCTCCAGTGCGTGCAAGACTAACTTGCCGAGCCACCTGTATGAGATTCCTCACGCTAAAGTTTTCCAGATGCAGACTTTTATGGGACTTTTGATCCTTTTTAGAGCATTAACTGCGAAGCAATTTGGCAACCAGCTAAGGCAACTGATAACCAGTTTGTTTGGGAATTGTTACGGGTCAACAGGAGGATCAAAGGGGGCGAGTTTGGTATAAAGGATAAGGAATTCGACAGAGACTTTGATGTCTAAACAGTAGCTCGGTTATCATTACTGCTCTTTTTTCGATGCTTCGAACAGAGTGGCCTCAATTGACTTTAGCGGTAGCCGAGGAGTTATGGAATCCGTTTCAATTTGAGTGTTCCTTGTATCATGTTGTTTTACGGGTACTGCTTGAGAACTTAATCATTGAACAGGAGAACAATTAGTTTCTCAATCAAAGCTTTTTGTGACAAGACAGCGGGCAAGATCAAGTGGAGGCTTTTCACAAAAAGCTTTGA